TGACCTACTAGATAATTCTCACCTCTACCTAAATGAGAGTCCTTTTATTTATTAAATGCTACAAATATTTAGTCAAAATATGGAATATGTCTTTGCGTATTCCTTGAACTAAAGTCCACAAAATGAAAAAAATTGCATTATTTTTATATACCTTTCTTAAATATTTTGTGATAATCTGGTTTTTTCAGTCTAATTATCTGAGACGATAACATAACTCTAGATGGGAAAAATAAAATATAAAGAGTTTTTCTTCAATTAATTTTTGTATATCCTATTTCATACACCCGAAAAACGAAATAAATAAATTTCAATTCATTATAAATAAATTGAAGAGAGCAATCATTTCCTCACTTTTCTATCTTGATTCCTTACAAATATTTTGAGGCACTTATTTTTTTCTGTAATTCATACTAATTAGTTAAATGCTAAGTAATAGGAATCTTGCTCACTTTTTGCTAATAATTAATTGTGTTATTAGAGTTTTCACGCATTTTTTAAAACAAATCGGCTCACTCTATTACTTATTTATTTATTTATTTTACCATCAATTTAATCTCGATCTGAAAAAACCTTGATGCTGGACAATTTTTTTCCTCTTTCTCGATTAAAGTGATCGGTCCCAAATTTTGTACTTGCACGTGTTGCAATTTCAATAACAATGTCAATGTGTAACGTAGACCTAATGGCGGTCCAAAAATACACGTTAAATTTTGTACGGCCACAAGAATATGCCCATGCATCTCAGAGAATCTGACTACAATTGGCATTAAAAATAAAAAAAATAAAAAATGGAAGTCCATTAAGTACGTAGAGTCTACTATTCATACGTTGAGAATAACAATATTTCAACTGCGTAATTGACGTGCTGATTATTTATTAAAGTAGTTAATATCTTAATGATTAATAAAATCATTTATTTTGTGTCATCAGATAATTGCTCGTTCGAATACTTTTAGGATGGTTATATTGACACTACAATTTTTATTTGTTACACCACATTTTAATTGCAGTGAAATTCTTCAATCTTTGCTCATTGAAACAATTATTTCCTTAACTTTTTTCGTCGAATTCTTATTTTCAATCTTTCATTAATCAGTACGTCCCATCATTGATGGTAATTTATATAAAAGTATTCTATTTTCATGCTTTGAAACAAGTGATTTTTTTTTT